TTTTCCAGTGGCTTTGCCTTCAGTGGAGTACTCCTCACATTGATGCTTTTGCCACATCCTTCAACCACAAATTGCCTCTGATTTGGTCTCTGGTACCCATCTTCTTGCTCTGGCTGTCGATGCTTTCAGCCAGGACTGGACGAACAAATACCTATGTCTATCCTCCCATTCAACTTCTTCATTGGGTGATTTTGGTCATCCATGCCACTTTGTGTCATGTTCTTCTGATTGCTCCTTACTGGCCAGCTCAGCCATGGTTTCCACGACTTCTTCAGCCCTTCCATTATCTCTTCTTCTGATTCCATCCCTTTTTCATCCAGCCCTTCCTCTCCTCTGTCTTTACGCCTGATTTTTATCTGTTCTTTGGCGAGGAGATCCGGCTTGTCCCAACAGGTAGTTTCTTTTTTGGCTTGTTCCATTTGCTCTTTCTCCATGGAATTTCCTCACTTAGTTTTTTATTTGGGGGGGGCCTTCTGTTTCCTTGATCTCGGGTTATCAGGTAGCCTTGTCTCACGCCTTTTGTTTTTCCTAATACCATAGGGTGTTTACTTCTCCTACTCTTTCCCTGTTGATGCATTCCTTCCAGATTCATTACCCAAAGCAGTAGTATACCCTTCTGGATTTGGATGTTAATGTGGTCTTTCATTGCCTCATTTTGCCTATGTTTGAACTACTCTCCATGTGCTCCTTGTTTCACCTTTCCCTTAAGACGTATTTCCTTCTCCTATTAGCCTGTGGATGTCGAAGTTCTGATTTATTTGGCATTGATGTTTCATGTAATCTTTATCATTCTACATATCTCCTTTATTCAGATCATTCTTTCCTCCCCAAAACTTCAATGGCTCATGAGGGTAACTCCTCCTTTTCGCCAATTTCCCTTCCTTCCATTTCTCATCTTTATCCTTGGCCTGATCCGGACAGACTTCTATGTCCTGTAAGTGCTCTTCACTGTTATATTGCTCTCACGGTTTCCTTCCATAGTGCTTATTCCCACCTCTTTAACCCTTGGCAACCATTCTCTGTTCGTGATCTTTCTCCTTCCACTCTCACCATTTGGGTTCAGCTTTTAATTTGATTGATTTATTCCTCTTTATTCTCTTCCTCCTGTTCTTTGTTCTGGGTGCCTTCTCAACAAATTTGGCAATTTACCTTTTCATTGGCATATCATCTTCATTGCCCCTTGGAGGAAATTCTTCAATTGGGCATGTGGACTACCCCTAATACATTCATCTCTCTCTATTTGCATAGGATTGCAGTTTCTTCCTCTTCAGGCTATCGTCTTCCACCTGAAACCATTTTTCAGACTTCAGTGAGACTTTGACTGGGTAAGCTATTTTTTATTATTCTTTATTTATTTTCAGGGGCCTTTTTTTTTCTTTTTATTATCACTCATTGTTTGGATCCTGCTTTGTGGCAAGTGGTGCCTGACCAGGAATTCTTTAATTGAACATACCCACACTGTAAGGCCATGTCAACTTACATATTGTATTTCCATGGCCACGCAACACACACTGCTGAGATGGGATGTTCCACAAGACTGCTTGTAGGATTATCCACATGATGGACTTACTTAAAACATTTTCCCATCTCAGACCATACTCGTCCATGGACTACATGGGTAAAGCAGAAGGGGATAGTTGCCCATTCCTGCCATGCCTTGTCTTGAATAAATAAAAATTATCTAATTAATATGGCAGTAATTTCGGTTTTAAATATCACAAGCCCCAAAGGGGCTTGAGATACAACCTGGGTGCTCAGAAACTGTTGTTTCTGTTCAGTCCATATTCGTGGATTAAAGATTGAACTCAATTGATTCGATTTATGTTCTTGAGATAAACTGTCACAAAATTTAAGATTAAAAGGCGGGTAAAACTATCTAGCAAATTTCCATCAAAGCACCTGGAGAAAGCCATGAAGAAATTGAAAGCAAGGAGGAAGTGAGCTTGACTTGATAACGTCTTGGAGTAATAAAGTCCAATGAGGCTGGTGCACGTGGAACACACGTGTTTGTTTGCACATCATGGTGTTGACATCATGTTGGGGAGGTTGTCAGCAATGGAGAAACAAGCAGAGAGATCCAGTATGCAGAACACCCTGTTGGTTTAAATTTGTTAATACATCATAATAGAATTTAAATTTTAGTGATATTTGAAAGAATTATTTTCATAACGTCAGGATAGGGAAGGTTAACATTAAAGGTTATAAATTCCAATAGATTACATTTTACTGACTATATTGATTTAAAATTTATGCTTTAAATCTGATATTTATTGGATTTAGATTTACATTTAAGCATAACAGATGCAGTCCTTTTCAGGGCCTGGGATCAAATGATCCAATTATCATTGAATAAATCGATATGGTTTGCTTTTAAAAAATAGGGTTGCGTGGTCACCCATTGCACTGTCTCAAGTGTTGTTGTTCCTCTGGACTATTCAGTACATTTTTCCCCTCTTTTCTTCTGGTGGAGCTTGAGAGTCAATACCATTTCCAGTTCCAAGCTGCTGGTGGACCGTGAAGGCATCCTCCTGAATGTGTTAATGAAATACAAACAAAATATTGAAATTATTATAAAACCATTCATTTGAGAGTTGGGTGATGGTATTCTGCTGGTGTAGATGATGTGATATCCTTCAATATGAAACAAATATAAATGGGAGTGAGCCATCAAAATTGCAGTTTACCCCTTTGATGGATCCCTCATCCTACTCCCACATGGATGTTGGTTCTCAGTGGCTGAGTTTTGGATTTAGAGTTGAACCAATCAACATAAGTCCTTACACATGTATTACAGATGTCTATATTCATCTCTCAATTATACTCTTGTTACTCCATCCATGTTGTGGGTCACGGTGGAGGTATTTGCAGATTATTATGGTTCTTCCCCTTGCGCTATCTCTCGATGCTTATTATTCCGAGGCTGTTACTGTGCTTGGGGTTGTTCAGGTCAATTTCAATTTTGAGGAAGATGGTTTACATTACTCTGACATCTTTTCAATACCAGATGTTGGGTTCCCAGATCAATCTATCAATTTCTCACATTGTTATCATGTGCCCATTTATGTGTCAGGGGGTATGAGATTCTCTCCAGTCTCATGAACTTGAGGTGAAGAAGGTATGATCCTCTTTCCTACCCCACTAGATGACTTTGTTTTGGATTGTAGTTGACTTGCCACTTGTATGATCCTCATCCTACCCCACATGGATGTCATTTACCAGTAGAATGGTTTTGAATGTAGTTGACTTGCTGTGTACGGTCCATCGCACCCTAGCTACTCTACGCCTAGGATACATCCTATTAATTGTACCCAATTTTATATTTTCTAGGATAGAGTTTCATAAATATTGTATGGTTTGGATCACTATCTGACCTTGGATGTGCTTCTCTGTTTTTCTGCCCATGTATGTGACATCTTTCTATGATGGACGAAGAGTATACCTAGTTCAGAACTGGTGCAGTTCCCCACGTCAGATCTTCGAATATGACTGTCTCATTTTAGGGAGTGTCCTTCAGACACTTTCAAAGGATGTTTCTTTCTTTCTCACACACCAGTCCCTTTACTTATTCAGTGTGGGATTCTAGCTCTTTATGTGAGAGGGGGTAATGTACCATATTGGAAGTTATAATTTTCTTACACTGAAAATGTATTTCCGATAACTACTTAACTCTTTCTCCCTACTGAAAACTGGTGCTTCCATCTGCCAAAACTCAAAGTGATAGTTCGTTAGAATTGAATAGAGGGAGTCATATGCATCATGGATGGATTTCATCCATTCTTTTTTATGCCGTTATGTTCCAATTGTACTGTCCTTCCATGTTGAACCTATCCTTGGGTCTTTCTCAGTTCTCCCTGGATAATCACTAATATGGCTGTCTTGTGACATCTGGCCATTTTAGATATAGATGAAGAAACGATACTTCTTCTGGAGTGTGTCCTTTTAGAATATATGTGTGGGCTGCTCCTCCCCTGAGAACCGGGACATAGTACTCCTTTTACCTGTTAATGTTACCACTGGTATCCCATTTTTGGTTCTTCCAGTGCTATATACTATTACTGCTTACAAAACTCTTGCTTATGCCATTATCAACATGAGAATCATGGCTGAAGAAGAATGCCATCTTTCTGAGTGTCCTTTAGGTCCAGTCTTTCTTCTACAAAACTGACCTGCTACACTCATTCTTTTTACATTCTACTCTGACTCTGCATGGTTACAATTTTTTGTTGTTGTTGGCTAGATAGTTTATCTTCCTTTCCTTTTGTTTTAGTTCATCGGTTTCCACCTTCTTTACAATGTGAGTATTCTGGCTTTCAGTATTCCAGAGGTAAGTCTACCTGATTTGAATATTTCATTTTTAGAATTAAACTGAATTTGAAATAGGTATTTACATCTGAAATACCTTTCCTCCTGTCTCCCCACAACCAAATATATATTATTATGACTGCTGCAACTAGGTAGTGAAGTGAGTGGAGGTTCATGGGTAAGTGCACTTTATGGTATGCAAGTACATAAAAGATATTTGGAAGTATTGAGTCACATGTTTTGTTAATAACAGGTGTTCAAACTCAACAAAAAAAGGTTTTCAGTATTTCAGAGGTAATTACCTATTTGAAAATCATCTTAATTCAAAAAAATGGGAAATTTTAAGGGCCTCAGACAAAATATTTTTTTAAAATTTAATTTAGTTGTAATTACAGTCTGCCTATTTACTGTGAATTTTGTTAATTATATAGTTTCTAATGTAGCAACCTATTTGGTAAAATAGATAAATAACTGCTGACATTTTTTTTCATTGAGGAGAGTTGTATATTGTACATTTGCAAAGACAATTGCTGAGTTAAGGACTCAGAAAATTTCTAAGGTTAAAAGTTCAGTCAGATTATGATTTATTTATAGCACTGAAAATGTCAAGCACAAAATCAGTCATACATATTGTTTGAATAGTATATTACAGTGAAAGTGATACAAGTCAGAACATTACGAAATACTTTGTGTTGCAGAATCGACTTGCAGATGCTGGTTGTCTGGTGGTGTTGAGAAACTTAATCAAGTCTCCCTCCCCTGTGGTTCAGGTTACAGCTGTACAAGCAGTGGCCAATTTAGCTGTAAATTCAAGAAATCAGGCTCCCTTTCAGGTAGCTTAATAAACTTTTCATACTCTTTTTGGACTACTTTCTTTGACATAAAATGTATCTTGACCTGCCTTCTGTGTAACTAAAGTCTTGATCTACAGCTTGTTCTGTTTTCTGTGTAAATAAAGTCTTGATATACATCTTGAGCTATCTTTTGTGTAACTACTTGATCTACATCTTGAGCTATCTTTTGTGAACTACTTGATCTACACCTTGATCTGTCTTTTGTGTAATTAAAGTCTTGATCTACACCTTGATCTGTCTTCTGTGTAACTAAGGTCTTGATCTACACCTTGATCTGTCTTTTGTGTAACTAAGGCCTTGATCTACACCTTGATCTGTCTTTTGTGTAACTAAAGTCTTGATCTACACCTTGATCTGTCTTTTGTGTAACTAAAGTCTTGATCTACACCTTGATCTGTCTTCTGTGTAACTAAGGTCTTCATCTACACCTTGATCTGTCTTTTGTGTAACTAAGGTCTTCATCTACACCTTGATCTGTCTTTTGTGTAACTAAAGTCTTGATCTACACCTTGATCTGTCTTTTGTGTAACTAAATTCTTGATCTACATCTTGATCTGTCTTTTGTGTAACTAAAGTCTTGATCTACACCTTGTTCTGTCTTTTGTGTAAGTAAAGTCTTGATCTACACCTTGTTCTGTCTTTTGTGTTATTATATATCTTCTTGATCTACACTTTGTTCTGTCATTTGTGTAACTAAAGTCTTGATCTACACCTTGTTCTGTCTTTTGTGTAACTAAAGTCTTGATTTATACCTTGTTCTGTCTTTTGTGTAACTAAAGTCTTGATCTACACCTTGTTCTGTCTTTTGTGTTATTATATCTCTTCTTGATCTACACTTTGTTGTCTTTTGTGTAACTAAAGTCTTGATCTACACCTTGTTCTGCCTTTTGTGTTATTATATCTCTTCTTTTAGATAGTTTAAAAAAACTCTTGCTCTGATTATTAACTACCTTGTGTGTCATGTAACTTAATTTTTCTGTTTGAGCAGTATCCTATGTTATCAAGTTAACCTCTTTCATGCAGTTAGTTATTTAAGTTAATACATGCATTGAATTGGCTAACTAAGTGATGAACAAAAAATTTATATATTAATACTAGAAATAAATGTTTAAAAAATATGATAGTTGGGGTCCAGAGCTCACAGGTATTTCCACTAAATCTAATAGAGTAACAAGAGTATTTTATGTACAACTAACCAGGTTGCATATATTTTGCATAAAGAGCATTTAATCTATACAAACTAAATGGCATATTTAATAATGTACGAACAAGTGATTCAGTCAACTTATTGATTATTGTTCCCCTCTTCACACATTGCACCACCCCTACTGCAATAGACTAGTTTTTTACATTTCAGTTTCTATACAGGTTGAGAATTTATTAATGTTTGTTCAGACATTTGCCTGGCTTTGGCCATGCCACTGTTGTAGGTAAAAGTAAAACACATATCTCTTTTTAAATTTTAGGCTGTAATTTGTATATTTAACTTTATAATTTCAGAAATATTTCTATGTTTTTGATATTAATAGATTATGCCTGTGAAAAAAAAAACTTCTTTAAAAATTGATTCACACTATTAACAAGAGTAAAACAGGCTTGTACTTTCTAATCTTGTCCTCATCTTAACATTCTGCTCTAGCTTTAGAGAAGTCTTTCCATCATCTTCCAGGTGTGTGTCCCAGTTTTGATGAACTACGCCGTAGATCCAGAGACAGGTGCTTATTTACGAAGTCTAAGTTTAATGGCACTTGCTAACTTGGCCCTCGAAGAAGTGCCTGTTACTCTCTACAGAAGTAACCTTCACTCTCTATTTCAGTTTTTAGAAGGAAGCACTGTTAAAATTCAAGTTCTTAAACTCCTAAATAATTTATCTTGTTGTTCTTCTATAGCACCTTATATATTAACTACCAAGGTAAGAAAGTTGGTATAGTTTATTCAGCTGATTATTTCAAAGTGCAACATTTACGTTTTGTAGAGGTTCATGTGAACTTAGTTGATTAACTTTTGCCTTTACATCAAGCAAGAGTGAATCAAGTGAATGCTGGTATGTGCTAAAATCATTCAATATGTAATATTCCCTCTCTCTCTGTAACTGGGAGAAAAGGATACACCTTGTTTGTTGTGGTATCCCATGTAAATAGGTATGATTCTTGGTGTTAATATTTTTGTTGTAATGTAACTTGATTAGTGTTTAAAACTTTTTTATTTGTAGTTTGTAACAATATATATATAAATGTTTCCTATGCAGATACTTGTATTGGTTTTGCTTGCTAGGTGATAAAAAATATTCCAAGTATTCTAGCTAATATACAATATCTGATTATGTGTATTTATTATATCTAGTTGATTTATCATAATAGAATTAAAAAATTCAGTATTTTGAAATAAGTGTATTGGATTTACATATAACCTCAGTGCAAAGAAATGACCAAAGAAACTTGGTGAAATCAATTTGATATGGTATGGTTTTATCAGTGTGTTTCAAGTCTGATGTGGTACAGTTTAATCAGAGTGACTTTAAATCTGAATTTGTACAGTTAAATCCAAGTCTGAGTTGGTAAAATATACATGTACTTCTAGTCTGAGTTAGTACAATTTAATTGTCAGTGTGTTATTGTACAGTTTGCTATTGGTGGGATCCATACATTGCATCACAATGAGTTATTTTATCTGTTTGAATATTAAGTGAAAATACCTGATAAAACAATTAGTCATTTTCTTTGTAACATGCAGACAAGATTCCAGCTGTAATTAGTGGTATTAACTGCAATATTGATGGTATTTTTGTTTAAATATTTATCTATGTGACAAGCAGTATGGTGTGTAAATGGTTTGAGTATGTTATGGTACAGTTTAATCTGTGTAGTTCAAATGTGATGTGGTACAGAGTTTAATCATTGTTTTAAGTGTGGTGTATAACATTTTGATTGATTATTCAATATTCTAGTGCCCATCAGTCTGTAAGATGCTGAACAATGAAAACAGAGATGTTATTTTGAGACTCCTAACGTTTTTGGGAAATATGTCAATGGCAGCTGGTCAGCAGAAATTGTTGAATAAGGAGTTGTCGGCTGACGATGAGAAAACATCTGAGATGCTTGAATCTACAGTATTTAGCCAGTTACTGAGTGAATCTTTCTACAGGAAAATTTTTTCATTATCATCGAGTAGTGATGAAGAGGTCTGTGCTAATGCCAGAAAAGTCTATAGCATTTTGAGTCAGCTTCATCAATACAACATTTGAAACATTTTAGAATTAACAATAGTAGTGTATCTTGCTAATGATTAATGATGAAAAGCTTAAGCTGCTGTACTCATCTTAGGTGAGGTGAACTTAATGATTGCACTGATAATTGCTCTTTCCTTTGTAGAAAAGCTTTAGCTCATGTGTATAGTGGTATTTGTCAGTTTATTTATTATAATGGTTGTATTCATAGTACATCCTTTCATGTATAGGAAAGCTTTAGCTTATTGTACGTATAGAGTTAAATTTGTAAATTATTATAGTAATGGTGTTCATAGAATTTTCTTATATAGACAAACTTTAAATTATTGCACTAACAAGATTTTTATGTATAGAGAAACTAAATCATTGCACTGATATTTTCATGTGTACAGATTAAATCATGACTGATGTTTCCATGTATAGAGACCAAGTCACTGCACTCCTAAGATTTTCATGCATAAAGACTAAAATCATTACACTCCTAAGATTTTCATGCATAGAGATATTAACTCACTGCACTAAGATTGTCATGTATAGAGACTAAAATTGCATTGATAAGATTTTCATGCATAGAGATATTAACTCATTGCACTAAGATTGTCATGTATAGAGACTAAAATTGCATTGATAAGATTTTTATGTACAGCAAAAATAAAATCATAGCTTTGATAAGATTTTCATGTATAGAGAGATTAAAATCATTGCACCAATAAGATTTTCATGTATAGAGACTAAAATTGCATTGATAAGATTTTTATGTACAGCAAAAATAAAATCATAGCATTGATAAGATTTTCATGTATAGAGAGATTAAAATCATTGCACCAATAAGATTTTCATGTATAGACTAAAATTGCATTGATAAGATTTTTATGTACAGCAAAAATAAAATCATAGCATTGATAAGATTTTCATGTATAGAGAGATTAAAATCATTGCACCAATAAGATTTTCATGTATAGAGAGACTAAATCATTGCACTAATAAGGTTTCCATGTATAAAAAAGATGTAAATCATTGTACATAAAATGCATCATCATAATTACAGTGACTGTAATAGCAAATCTTTTATATACAGAAATGAGATGATTTGTGTTTTCTTAGATTATTACATTAGCTGTACTGGTAGTTTTCTCATCTCTTTGTAAAGGGGTTGTACAACATATTGCATATAACTATAATCTTTAAAAACATATTCAATTTGTTAATATGAAAAGTCATTTTGGCAAGTGTAAATATGTATATTCAAGTATGGTGCTTTGTAAACCCTTGTATGTAGGAATAAATATCAACACATTACTAGGTCCTTTCTGTTGTGTGATGAGTTTAGACATTTAATTTATTGACTGGTCCTAAATAGTGATATTTTGCAATATTTGAGTAACAGTCACCATAATGTAAGGACACAAGATGAATAAAAAAATTGGAAATTTAAAAACCTGCATATAGAGATTGTAAAAAATAATAATAAGGAAACAATGCTAGAGATACTGTAGACATTTACTCAAACTACAAACCCCTATTTTGTCTCAATGCTGTTACCTAGAATTACATTTGGTGGAGTCAAAATAGGGATTTGTTGTTTGAGTAAATAATGTCTACAGTATCTCCAGCCTTCTTTCCTTACTTTTTTTACAATCTCTACTTGCAGGTTTTTAAATTCCTAATTGTTTATTTATCTAGTTTGCTGGCTTTTATCATGCTCAAAGGATTACTTGATTTGGTAGCTAACCATATACATTATAATGATAATAAACATAGCTAATAGCTAACTAATACGGTTCATGATGATTTATTGTAGCTATTAGTTACTTGATTGCATTAGTTTGAGATGTAAAATATTAAGCTGCAGCTGGAGATTTGTTTGAGAATAGAGTGAGCATTTATAGTTTCTGTGTAACTAAATTATCTATATATAATGCATAGATAGCAATGGGCAAATATTTGCCTAGACTAAGACACAACTCCCACTAAGCACATATAAAACTTTACCAGTAGAAAAGAAAGCTTTTCAAATAAAACATACATGTCTAAAACATTGCTTTAAATAAAACTTTGTGTCTTTTAAAGTACTTATTCTATGAATGTGTGTAATAAAATTTAACATTATGTGTATTGATTTCTTTTTTACTCCTTTGCCTCATATATAATATAGGGGTTGGCTCCCTAAAGACACCGATTGTATAGTGTACAAAGTATCTACATGTTGCAGTCATCTATTATTGACTGATAATTCCTGTTTTGCCCTGTACTTAAGTTTTTTAAAGGAATACCAAATATTTCTAAGAAATCTAACTTCAAGGGCTTATGATAACATCATTTACATTAGAATTATGATTTTTTAGGTTATTTCAAATATAGAAAAAACAAATTGACTTTTCAATACCCATACAACTTTTGCAGTATCTTATTTAGTATTCTACAAAAGGTTTCCTTGCAAGTCTAACGTGTGTGGTTTTTTATATGTGTACAGCCTTAAAAATAAAGGTTTTAAATGTTGTTTGAACTGAATCTTTACTGTTTAAAATGCTTTTTACCCAAACATTCTATTAGGGTCTTCTGCAATTCCTATTATGAATCATGATTGTGGTTCGTGATAAGAAACAGGGGAATTACTAAATTATAGCTTCAGAAAGTTTTAGCTATTATTCAATTAAAAAAACAAAACCAGTTTCAAACTTATTCCATTATTAAGAAACAAAAGTCTTCCAGTATTTATTTTGAATTTTCATGTCATTTTTTAAAGATTTTAAACACTAAATTTTATTACTTGAAATCATTAAGGACAATTTTTAAGGTTTTAATGGTTACAGATGTGAATGACTTGCTATATTTCGACTTGGCACTTACAGAGACAAAAGGAAAGTGTTATTACACTTTTTTTTTTAGCTTTTGATGGCAGCAAAGAATGGTAAATATTTTTTCTTGTTGCTGTAGTTACTACAACAAACATATACTCTTCATTTTTTCAGCATTCTTGGTTACCAAAGTGTTTTTGTTTTCTTGAAAAGCCCTAAATAAACAATGCAGTGTTTTAAAAATATAATAGGCCCTAACAATAATGTCTTATGACAAGTATAATTAATTATAATTGTGATTCACCAACTTAGAAAGAGCATTCACACTACAACAATGGTTGTTGTAATAAATGGCTTACATGAATAGTGTTCCAATCATTACTGTGTTTGTTGTGTCCTAGCCAGCCTGATGAATTCTTGATTGAGTGAAACTCATTGTCTGCTGTGGATATGGTGTACAGTTTGTGATTAGAATACTATTATTATAAACTCTTCTAATTCTTAAAAATTCCTAAGGGACTAGATATAAGGATGCAGTGCTAAAACAAACTAATATTTTTACATCAAGGCTACATTATTGTGATATTGAGCACAAGCTATTTTTAAATATATTGAAATTAAAGTAGGACTGGCAAGACCAGTGACCCCAAACACAGTATGAGAATTAATCTGCAACTAGTACACATTCACATATATAGAAAAGGTTGTATTTTTTGCCTCAATTTCAGGAGATCGATGGAACAAAACTGTTGCACGTGTTTATGTTGTATCCAGAGAAACTTTTTTTGTGTACAGAGAAGACTTTTACATATGCATATAAAAAGTCACTTAGACTATGTAGCAATGAATAAAAAAACATTGTATTAATTCAATATTTTGATACATCATGAAGTGCTGTATGAAGATGTTTGTCTGTTAACAACTGAGAACTTAAAACTGTATTATGGTTAATGATGAGGAAATTTTTACTCCTTTCAGTATTTCCCTTTTTTTTCAGAAAAATATTTAAATAGGATCATGATTACATCAAATTCCCTTATAACTAGTGGTCAAATATAGTAAACTGACTTATTATAATCAAGTTGCACAGTGTGTGTTAGTAATAGGTGTGATAGGTTAAGCAATTTTCCACTTTCTGTAGCTTGGACTGTGGTAATCCAAACTATCATATATTTTCAGTGGATGTGCTCTACTGGACCATTACTTCACATACCAATTTTAAAGGCAATCCATTAAAAAATATACAAGATATAAGATCTCCAATTTTTATTGAAGTTCTTCCTTCTCTCTTTTTTTTTCCAGCCAAAAGTACGGAAATTTTGACAGAAAAACACTTAACTTTTATGGAATTTTATTCAAACTTGGTACACTGATAAATCTTTAAAGCCTACAATTAGATGTCAAATTTGGTCTAAATTTATGCCATGAATCTAGGTAATAAAGACATGGGTAAAAAGTTAATTGGAAAAAATTACAAAAACAGATAGAAAAGTCAAAGTATTTTGGAAAACAGTATCAATAACAGCTAAGCCAATTATTGAAACCATGTAATCCAACTGAGTTAATAATTAAGCTGCTATTAATACAGTTTCTAATCAATTATGGAATTTCTCATTTTTACCACTCCTAAAATATTGCACTTATTTTTTTTATCTGTGTAGTTTTCTCTGTCTCATAGGGTTTACGCATGTATGTGATGATAAAAAAGTAAAATGCTTATTTCAGAAATTGTCATTTTATACCATTCCTAAAATATAAAAATTTGCTAACCTGTTTGTATAATTTTTTTTTGTCTTTATTACTGCCATTGTAATGCCACATGTGCAAAGCTATTCAACAAAAACTGCTACATTTTGGTGCATGCTTAAGCAAAAAGTCACATACATGAGCCATTGGTCTGACATTTTTACTGCAGTTTCACCTAATAGTAAAGTTTTTTGTAAATTGGATTAAAGATGGCTGATTTAGAAGAGCAAATCTATAAGTTGAAAGCACACGCAGATACACAAATATTGGTTAGGCCAAGCAAAGTAGATTAGCAGTTTCTAGCTCAAGTTTCCAACTGAATCATACAGGTGGACAGTTATTATTGAGTGCCAAACTTTAAGCACAAACTTGCTGAATTTTATGAAATTCTCCTAATTAAAGAGCATCACTTGATATTATCTTAAATAATTAGTGTAAGTAATGATGCTTGATATGGCTGTACCGAGTGCATCCAGGTGATGGCAAGAAACTGTTAATCTAGATTCCATGGCGATACTATAAAAGAAGCTATTAACACTGTTTTAGAGAGGAAAAACTGTCACCATATATATTTAAGAATTTGATTGGTTCTGTTCCAAATGATAGGGTTGTGATCCTAAAGTTAATGTTGGTTAATATCCAGTGTCACTTTATTACTTGCTGTGTTTTGTTGGTGTATATTGAAAAATGTCATGGTATGTAATCAAAACCACCTTTGGTGTGAAAAAAAGAGGACTGGGTGTGTGACTTGAAGGAATGAAATCAAAATCAGCAACCAAACTGGTAGCTACACTTATAGCATTAATAAGAATTTTACAGCAAATATTCATTCATTAGTTCTTCATTTCATGCCACTCATAAGCAATGTGCTGATATTTTTTCTGTTTCATGGTTCCACCACCAGGACATCTTTGGATCTTCCACACCTAACAAGTAGCTGATCTGAATAAATGACGGTGCTATATATTAATCTTAGTGGTAGGAAGATTATATATATGAAGTTTAAATGCATTTCAGATTGATATCATGTAAATGCACAAACAATACACGCTGATATTTGGCCCATCCATTCTGTTGTACTAGCCACGTGAAATATGATAACCAAATGCATATATCACTATAGGAGCTGATACATTAAAATCAGTAACATATAATTTCTTTTTCTGTTACTATTTCATATACAATTAATACAGAAAACACACTGGTCCAAACATTATGCTGTGGAAAAGATGAAACATCAGCAACCTCTCATATCTTTAACTATATTTGTTTAGATTTCATCCAAATCTAACAGAGGCCATTTTAGGTGCTTATTCATATAACCATACTTTGAAAATTGTTAAAGGTGAGATCACCCGACTTAGCACCAGAAGCCTTGCAATTTTTTCATGATTTAAATATGACTGCATAATCAAGGTTTGAATTTCTATACTTTGAAAAGTCAAGCCTATGGATAGTGTTACCACACTTGATAAAAATTAAAGTATATAAACTCAGCCTTCATTTTTCAGGAAATTGTTTCCCTTTCAAAATGGAATGACTCATCCACCACTGTGTCAAGACGCTTTTCTTCAGTCATGATATTTAGCCCCAATCTACATATCTTAAATGTTGAATGCATTACTTTACTTTTTATTGCAAACCACACTGTAAAATAAGTATTAATGTTTTCTACTAGGTATAGCTATTAACACAAACTGCCTCAGTCATTTGTTTTGGATGTTATGATTTTTATTTTTCACTTTAAAATGAAATAAGGTTAACTGAAAACACATAACACTTCATGGAAATCACAGTCCAAAATTAACATTAAACTGAAAAAAATCTAAAGTCAATACAAATCAAAAACAAAATTTAGATAATGCACTGATCAACGTTATCTAATTAAACGCCAATTGTGTCTAGCTACAAACAGTGCTTGGGTGTTTATTCATGAAAAAATTATTTAAAACATAACTCAATACTGTTTTCATTAGCACACACAAGATTTAGTTAAACACTAATACACAGAAAAGGTTTTTTATGTTTACACACCAGGAACATAAATACAACCTCACATTACATATTTTGCTTAAACAATTAGCAGCTTCTGAAATATTAATAGAATTATAAACCTGAACTCGTAGACTTATAGTTACATCCCTAGTCTGGTAACTTAGTCACAACACATATTAAACAGTATTGTGTTAAACTTACAGGAAAAATTACAGTAACATTTGTTATATCACACCCATTAATAAAAACTGAAGGAATTACTATTTCATTGAAAGTCAGTAAATTTTCTTCTTATGGAATTCTGAATTAGTACATGCAACATTGGTTTAAAAAATTAGTGTTATTGCTTTTATGCAAATTTTGATTTAATCAACTATTATGTATTTAATACAAAATGTGTTATCACTGACCAATTGCTTGAGACTGATAACTTAAGACAGTTTACCAACATATGGGATTTTATTATTACAAAGTTAATAGACCATTTATGTATAACTCCTGTTAATGTCAAGATAACACACATAAACCAGAACTGTAGAAAAGTCTAATATCTTCTTTTCTCAAGGTAACTTTTACAAAATGTTTGAAAAATACACTAATGTTGCTCTGTACTGATTACACAAACTCTACTGTCCACAGTGAAAACTATGGTAATTTTTATGGAAAAATATGTCAAGGTTTAATGCATTATCTTCTAAGCTTCAATGACAAATGAAATGCCTTATAACTTAAATGATAACCAAATAACTGAAAAAAAAAGGTTTAATGGGAGTTCCTGCTTATTATACAAGACAGAATACATTCAAGAAATGTCAATCGTACAGGGTGTTAAAAAACTGTTCACCTTACTTTTTGTATTGTCTTTAGCATCCAAGACAAAAGTACTCACTTTCATAAAATCAGATAACCTATCAATTTTGTATGACTTGCATTCTTCCTTTCACATATAACTTTTAGTCATAACTACCAAGATGTCTTCACAAAAATGCACAAGTACCAGTTTTACCCCATTTCAGCTATTCTGAGCTAAGTATAAAATTAATAAATATATATATATATACCGCTTTTATTTAGTTTCAAAGAATATGAGTTCACTTTTATTTCTGGAATTAGTGGCTTTAAGATGCCTCAGTACTCTGGACTTTTTCTTAAAATATTTAGAAACTGCTATGAAATAACCAAAAAAACATCTATTACAGCTTCTCTACACAAGCATGATCCATCCAAAGATCTTATGTTTCAAATCTTCTTTTTTTAACTAAAGAAAAAAGATCTATATATACTCTTATTGTTAATCAACAGTTGTAAGAAATCTGATACAAAATGCATGCTATGTTCTTACATTATCCTTTACAGAACACTCATCACTTGATTACATTTAAAAATTAAAATATGTTTAAGCTTTAAATCCAAAATTCACATAAATTCTGATACCAATACTTCAGCCAGTTGGCAGTTTTGCAAAATTTATTTTTGAATGTTACAATAATTACCTTCACAGCTTAAATAGTGTATCAATAATGACTACTATTAAGAACAAACTTGTTTTAAGAATCAAATTCTAGAAGAAACATATAGCTATGAAATACTGATCATACCTGACATCAATCAAAGGACAGGTCAGATCAAATTTGTTTTCTAAATCTAATTAATACATTTGGGGAAAGTAAGATCATGTTGAATTTTGATTAGGTTAAAATTGACATAGCTTCAGAAGCAAAAAACCTGACATCCACATCACTGTCGCTATTCAATTTGTTTAAACAAGGCTTTACTTGACTCTGCATTGTAGATGGATCCAAAACTGGTCCTATTCTCTGTAGTGTTTTGGCAACATTGAAACGAACATTAGCAACATTGTCATTAGCAAGACTCAGAACTGTTGGAAGCATCAGCTTGCTGGTTACTTCTGGTCCACAAGCTTCAGCCAAGACATTGATACAAAACAAACAGGTCATGCGATGGAGATAGTTCTGATCTCGAGACATGGATACCACCTTTGGGATAACTGTATTGGTTGCCCAGTCAGATCCAAATCTCTCAACCAGTTTCTTCAGATTTTCTGTGGCAGCTTCTCTGATAGCAAAGACATGATCAACCAGCCAAGTCATGCAAAGCGTGTTCAACTTTTCATCAAAGAACTCTACCCCCAACTGCCCAGCTAATAATGGCATATACTCAATAATTGCTAGTCGCACTCTCCACTTCACATCTTCGGCTAATTCAACAATAGCAGGCAGTAAGCTTTGAGAAAGCTGCTGTATCCCAATGACTTCATTGACACAATCAAGGTTGGAGATAATGCTCAGGCGAACCTCTGGACACTCATCCTTCAACTGAGAAAGGAACATAGGAAGTAGATGTTCAATAGTGTTGTGTTTCCCCAAGATGGGAGATAGACCCATTATAACTGAAGCAAGAGCCGACTTAACATGCTGGTTTGGATCTGAAACTAGGTCTTTCACACACGGCAAGATGTTGTTCATAATTACTTGTTCTTGAACATCTTTCGGCAAATTCTGACAGAAATCTTTAACTTTTTGTGCAGCTGCTGCTCTAACTTCAGCCTCACAATCTTTCAAGAGGTTTTGAAAAGCTGGTACAAGATCTGCTTTTGTCAACTCTGGGCCTACAGCTTTCTGTAATTCTGTGAACTTATCTGCAACAGTGTAACGAACTCGCCAGGACTTGTCTTCTGCCGCTTGCCGAAGGGTTGGCATAACAAGATGCTCTACATCCTCTTGCTGCAAAAGATCAGCAATAGAGACACAAGCTTCCACAGCTAATAACCTCACAGAGTCTTGTTCATCTAGTGCAAGATTGGCCCACATGGGAATTAAGTCAGACTTCATATATTCTGGTTCAACTACCTTGGCAAACTCACCAAGCTTGCTAGCTGCAGCACGACGAACCATGGGTGTGTCATCCTGGCAGAGGTTCCTGAAATGATTTCGAACGTCAGCTTTGACTGCCCCTGAAACTCTTGGGTAGCAAACACTGAACAAACCACAGGCTGAAGTCCGTGATGTAAACCAATCTCCGGATGCAAGTCGTTTCACCAAAGGAACAAAGTGCTGCTCCAAATCTGCAGTGCTATGTTGTTGAGATATATTTCGAAGTGATTCTACAGCTTTATCTCGAACCACAGTTTCTTCAACAGTAGCGAGACTTTCAAGTGGTGGCAAAAGGCAATGTACATGCTCAGGACCACCAACCAGTGGGGTAAAATTTCCCAATTGTTCAGCTAGGGCCAACAGAACTTCATCTTCATCGTATATCGTTTCAGTTAAAAATGGTATAAGTTCTGTTCTCGTCCTATCCACTCCAAGAGCCAATGCTATTGTTGATAATTTCTTAATACTGTTAAGTCGTAACTGAACATCTTCATTTCGAAGTTCATCAATTAATACTGCGATTGGATAAAGAGAATCGTCTGTATTCGCCTCACTTGCAGCCATTTTCTATGAATAACGATCAAATGACGTCATACTTCCATGACATCATTGCAGAAGTAAGTTTAAAATATAGCCGGTAGATGAAAATATCTTTTCAGTGATAATAAACAAAATAAATAAATAAAGTAATTCGTAATCTGAAAATAAAATTGTATTTTGTGTCATTTAACTGTAGATTTTTTTTGCAAAATGCTATAGGTACTTTTGAATATATGTTGATTATATAATGCTGTATACCGAGTTCTGTGTTTATAATGTAATTTTATGTGTACCTAAAATATTTTTCAACTATTAATCTTTACTTTAAAAATAAGTCTTGCCAGATTCTATTACCTTAAAATTTACAGATTTATCTCGAAACTTTATAATAAGACAAGAAAAAGGAACATACGAGTGTTTTCTAGATTTTAACTAATGTATGACTGATTTCACAGGTTCATTTTAACAAATGCTAAAGTATAATCATTCTATTGTTAGGTAAAAAAACGACGCACGAATTTAACTTACAGATGATAATAGGTAGACAAACAACGATTTATAAGCAGAACATTCAACAGAACATTGGTCTGTCTTCTTCAGGTATGATCAGTACTAAGCAATACAAAGTTTATATATCGTACAAAGACAAAAGACACAAGGATTAAATGTAACGGAGATGGTGTCAGTAGGCGACAGCTATATAGGTCAAGTCTGATCAAGTGTATGGGCGGTGAATAGACCTTGCCAAATACGACTGAGGTTGCTGGGACCATTATCTTAGTGATTTCTATAATTTCTAAACAGTCTCTTTCTTTCTTTTTTTTCTTAGTTTTTTGGTAAAAATCTTTTCCATGTTTATAAATCGTTGTTTGCATATCTATTT